TGTAAATATATAGAAATGTCTTTTATGTATATATTATACACATAAACACAGCAATTGTCACAAGGAGAAGAGACTACTTTTAATTTCCTGGGCTTTGCCACACAATTATAAAGAAAATTTCATATGTTGAAGATATCATCAAAGTCATAAAAACGATTGCAGAATATCAATCAGAATGTTAAAATTCAAAATGCATTTGCCCAGTTACAAAAAACAGACAAAAATTTTCACAATCTATATATTTTTAGAAAGGAGACATGTCTATAATCAATAATTAATTACAACAAAGACAACTGCAACAATTTCAACAGCTATATCAACAACAAAAGTAACACCAACAATTACACAACAACAAACAGTTGAGACTTTAGAAATACGGTTAAGTCCAAAAGAAGTCAACAATGTTGTGTAGCATACCACAGAATCTACATTAACAACAACAGTAACATCAACAACTACAACAACCAACAAGTGAAATATTTTTAATTCGCTAGAGTCCAAAAGAAGCCAACAACATTGTGTAACATACCACAGAATCCACATCCCTGGTGCTGACAGTGTACACAGAGGAACCCGGCGGCGCGTTGAAGTTGATGCTGGTTGAGTACGGTTCGTTCAGGAACTCGGGAGCATTCAGGTTACGTTGTACGTTAATCCTCACGCTTGCTGGAACAGGAGACACTCGCACAGGATCGCCGATGTCACGAGCCAGAACGGAGAACTGGACGAGACACGGGGAGGACAAGGAATGAAAGCGTTGCATTTAACATTTCTGTTTCTTAGATGAGCCCTACTTGAAACAATGTCTAACTTAAAAATGAACTAGTATAATTTGTCCTCAAAGATACCTCCTTTGAAGACATTGAAAGCAGTAACTTATTATGTAACTGCTGTGTCTATGATGACATTGAAGCAGTAATTTACATTCTAAAATTGGGTCTTTGAAGATATTGAAACAATAACGTACGGTTTAATTGTTGTGTCTATGAAGACACTGAAGCAATAACTTACTTTATAACTGTTGTGACTATGAAAAGATTGAAACAGTAACTTACTTTGTAAATGTTGTGTCTATGAAGACATTGAAACAATACGTATGGCTCTTTTCGTCTATGCAGACGGTCAACTTAGCTTAAGATGGTCTTCATGCAACTTCTTTCATGGCTATTTCATCCTATGTTTGAAGTGCAGATTCTGTCGCAGTGCTTGCATGTCAGTGACGTTGATTGAAGCTCTGTATTTCCGATACTGAAACAATAACTTACGGTGTAACTGCTGCGTCTGTTGAGGTCGCCTGTGAGGGGAGCCCGGATCGAGATGACTCCGGTGGTGGAGTCGACCTGGAAGTAGTTCCTGTTGAAGTTGTTCACATCCTGGATCTCATAGCGCACCGTGTTGAACGGCGACTGAGGGAGATACAGAGAGAAATTGTCAAAATTACAGAAAATAAGAAATTCACATCAGTGTATCAAAACAGTTGTCTTCAGTACAAGATAGAGAAATCTGAAAAAACAAATCAGATTTCGGAAAGAGTTTCCTTCTAATACATTTGAATAGTTCAAGGCAGCCACCCACTGTCAAGGAGCAAAATAGAGATCTTAGACAGATAGACATCTTAAACAGTGGTATCATTACACTATTAAAAAATTGCAAGGGAAGTATAGTGAGAAGTGGTCATTTGTACAGATGATTGTCTTCAAAAAGTGGTCACCATAGCAGGTTCGACTGTAATTTTCACTTACTACTACTACTACTACTACTACTACTAATAATAATAATAATAATAATAATAATAATAAATAGCATTTGTATAGTGCAAAACACCGCTCTACAGCAAGCTCTATGCACTTAACACTATATCCCTTGCTTCAAAGCAAAATTTCTACAAATACAAATCATGTCTTTGTTACAATCTAACACTGTCCAAAATGGTTCGGAACAAATCTTACTCTTGAATCGGAGTCCGTTGCTTGCACTTGAAGGATGGAGGAGCCGATGACCCTTGTCTCCAGAATGGTCTCCTCATAGCTGGGCCGCACAAACTCCGGGTCAAACAGATTACGGATGACCGTGATGGACACAACAGCTGTGGCGCTACGAGCTGGGCTTCCTCCGTCCCTAGCAACTACACGACCCTAGAAATAATAAAAAATAATTTAAAATAGTTTAAAAATAATCGAAAATAATTTTTTAAATTACACTTTTAT